CTGATTGATGCGTTAGATCACTGCAGATCACCAAGCATGCCTTGCTTGCGACTACATGATTCGCGAAGCACGCACCAATTTCATGCATGATCGCAGCTCCGAATATGCTTCCGACAGCACAACATGTGCTAACTACTTCGCTAATGCAACGCAACTGTCGTGATGCGTTTTATTTTCTCATAGATTTTGACGGCGCCAGCATGTAGTTTATCCTTTAGTAGCCTATAACGATATTTCGTACTCGTGCTTGTAAATATTGGCGTTCCTTCCATGCAAGAATATTCAGGTTCCATTTGTTATCAGCCTATTTGCCAAAACAAAAAACGTGCTTTGAAATTCGTTCAATGAACAGGCACCGAGTTTCACGTTTTCAAATGACAAAAAAGACTCATCATGCTTCGAGCACAAATATGCATGCCAATTCGTTCAATATGCGTCGAAATTGATTCGTAAATTTTTTTATAAGCTGCAGATCGCAGCTCTTGACAACGCATGAGCTTCTACTTTACAGCACTATGTTGGCGGCACGCCATGGTCTTTCTTGTAAGCTCCGCTATGTCTCTCTGTAAGCGAAATCACGGAAGCGTTCCAGGCTGTTTGCGTTAGCTAAAAGAGGGGAGAGGACAGTTGTCAACAGCGTCAATTGTCAGTTCTAAAGACAAACATAGACACTTTTATAAAGACTGCTGTCATTCAAACTGCGCAGCGCTTGTTATTGCCAGAGAACTTCTCACTAGTTTTTTTTTTTTTTTCTTGCGGCGTTAGTGTCGCGCCAACCGTTCTTGTTCGAAACGCAGACGCTCACTAACACGCTCCAAGACATGTGTTAGCAGTGTGAGCGAGTCCTCAGTAATTTTGTCTTCATTGTCCATCAGATATACGAACATTCCACAACATTTAGGTCTTGGCGTATTATCACTGACGTGCAGGGTATACAGGGGTGGTTAAAAGTTCCATGCCGCGTGTCCGTATAGTTACATGGAATAGCACCCTGGAATTTTTCGACCACCCCACTCCTCACTGTATCATGGCCGGCTGTCTTGGACTTATTCCATGGGCTTTGTGCTTGCGAGTGACTCTTTTCCATGGCAAAGCACCTGATATGCCCCTCATATGGATTTCCTGTCTAAGCGTGCTTCGCCATTACCTTATTGTTGTAACTTCAACTTGATTGCTTGCATTGTTAATATGTACGTTTGTTATTATGCTGTAGTAACATTGCACGCAGCACTCACTTCTGGTTTCTTCCTTTTATTCATTCTAAGTCAGTTTCACATTGTCACCATCTATGAATGCATCTATTGCGGTACATTTTTTTCTCTTAAAAGGAAATAATCTATTTTCACTTCATTTTAAATGAACGAAACGCTTCATTGTTAAGCCTGGTGGACATACCATGCAGCTGGTTGCCATGTAGTGTAATATACATGTCTGTTTTTTTTTTCAAGTGGGAACAAATCGTTGTTGCATTATAATTGCTCAGAAACCCATTTATTACCAACCCTGACAATGTTCATACTATTTATTAACAAATGGCAGATCTCCCGCACAGTGGGTATTGATGATATGCGAAGCACGAATGGGGAAGGTTGATATGTCACTTTAAAATCAGCACAACTTTACGAGGCGCATGAGCATAGTACACAATAAACACAAATACAAATGATATACGCACTCAGGAATCTAGATAGGATGCATGTATGTTAATTAGAGTCGCGTAACGACGGCACCACTAACGTTTGCGATACCAGCACCAGCAGTGGTAGGCATGTAAATTATGCCGTGCATGACACATGTCATGATCATCCTGTTTGCGCCTGGCATTTGTGTTCGTCATCCTTTCACGTCACGTAATACCAAATTGGCAAATGTGAAACCAGCGAAATGGCCAAGAGCGCATCATGAGCATGGTTTGTGGCCAGGTTCTTACCTGACACGCATCTCACGATTATCATATTTGCACTAGTCATATCCATTACCGTCACGTAACACCTAATTTAGTATATGCTAAGCTAGCGAAACGACCGCGAGCGCACCATGAGCGTTCCGTGTAGTCCTGACTTACATGACATGCGTATCATGATTTCCACGTTAGGACATGTCACTTATATTCGCCATGCAGTCATACCAGTTTTGCAATATGTCATGTGAACGAAGCCACCGCAAGAGCAGCAAGACCATTACATGCAAATCATGACATTTATGACATGCGTATCAGGATTTTCATGTTCTGAATAGCCGCTTTTGCTCGTCATACAGTCATGTTATGCCATACCAATTATGGTATAGATCCTAAATTGAAAAGGCCAGGAGAGCAGAAGTCGTATGCGGCTGATAGATAGATAGATAGATAGATAGATAGATAGATAGATAGATAGATAGATAGATAGATAGATAGATAGATAGATAGATAGATAGATAGATAGATAGATAGATAGATAGATAGATAGATAGATAGATAGATAGATAGATAGATAGATAGATAGATAGATAGATAGATAGATAGATAGATAGATAGATAGATAGATAGATAGATAGATAGATAGATAGATAGATAGATAGATAGATAGATAGATAGTAGATAGATAGATAGAGATAGATAATAGATAGATAGATAGATAGATAGATAGATAGATAGATAGATAGATACGGGGAAAGTCACCGAAGTTCGCTATGAAATGCTTCCCACTTAAAAGGTGGCCGGCTAATGACAAATACGAGCAAACAGTGTTGTCCATATAGTTCATTCACACAACCTTTTTTTCTACATCAGCCTCGTTTATTCTCCATCTCTCGCGAATCAGTGAACTTTTCTTGAGTGGCTGAGCTAATTATCCGTTACTTATTGCTGCGCATATTCATTTTAAATACGTTTTCCGTCTAATTTTGTTCGTATATGAGCGAACTTTTTTTCTTTTTCTTCCACAAAAGATTTCGCTTGATTGTGAAGTAGTCATGGCTCACTTTTGGTTTTTCACGCGTCCTCGTAAAATTAAACGATTACTCGTGCTTCCGAATGTCTCGTAATACAGCATCTCCGCTTTTTTTCATTCCGACTATACAATTTCCGGTTTACACATTATTACCTCTGCCTCTGGTATCTCCTCTTCGGCGGCGCGTCTAAGATGTGTACAAGCTTCGGACCAATCTCCGTGTGCACTAATAATCACACAATCTCTGTTAGTTTCTTCTATTATTGCCACGTCTCGTTTTGCTTCAACGTAATCCTAGCTGTGGCAGATATTAGGGTAGCTACTTCTCATGGCAAAGTACGCTTTCATGCACCGCGTGCATACTATGACTATTTCATTCAAAAGAAATTGCTGGCCCAACGTAGCACTAAGCCAAATGATATCGAAGTCCTCGTAGGGCACAGAAGTCATGATATGGTTATGAGTATGGCGTGACCAAAGTCGTCCTTCGTGGTTGCAGCGCAACACATTGAATGCAGGAGGGCTGCCGAAAAGGAGGGCGCGGTCATGAGGATGTGGGGGTGGCATGCAGTGTTTGATTGCCAACATGATTGCTGTTCATTCTGCTAGTATCTATACAGGTGTCTCAATGTCACCTCGGATAGTGGACCGCAGTCACATAATTTTGTTTAGGTAATCGATTAATCAATCAATAAATAAATATTCGAGGTCGCGAACGCGGGTCGTAGGAGCGAGGGTGGGGGTGGGAAGAGAGATTCGAAAAAAAAATGTCAACAAATGAAAGAATGCATTTCACGCCATATATAGGTCATTTCTGATAGGCAATCCACGTCCGGTTTCGAAAAATATATTGGTTCCCGCAATGTCTAAAATAAAGTTTTCGGTCGACAGTGATAGCGGGCGCATATACGGAGCATCACGATAAAAAAAAATGCTTCTCAGTCCCGTTTCTGTAGAGTATGCGCGATGAGCACTATTAATTGCAATAAGAGTGAAAATATTGCGAGTGCTAGTTTGCAGTGTCACAAAAATTTATTCCATCTGAAGCCGCGAGCCTACAGCGAAAGGTCCGCGGACCTCTTGTTTGAGATACCTGATATGTACAATGCGCATTTAAGAATATTCGTAAACTTTTTGCTCGAAAGAATTTTCTACGGATTTTTTTTATTCATCACATACATCTAACACAGCTTCCATTGAAGGCGCACCAGAGCCCCTGTAACAGCGTGGGAGCAAACCCTTTTTCACCCTAGAACTTCTGCTGCAGTGCGCACCTGCGACGTTGCTGACAGCGCATTTAGATAACTGCATAGCAAGTGCTTATGAGCCTTCAATTTTGCGCTGGACATTCAGGTAACGCGAACGCAGTGCTCCATGTGTTACTCCGTAATCAAGTATGAGTTAGCTTATATTTGCTATAAATGTAATTCGGATACTACGAGAGTTAAAGAGAAACTCAAGATGGACACAGTACATTCGATCTTGTGATTTTCTAGTTGTTGTTTTTTTTGCCAGCTCTTTACGTAGCCTGATTATTACATATCTACACGCATCCTCAACACGCATTCCCAGAACCTGTCCAACCAAACACATGCATTTCATAAAACTACATCTTTCACTCCTACGTGTCATTCGAAGCACTATGTGTAATTGGCCGTAATGAGAAAACTGTTCTTTGCAATTAGTTGCACTAACACTATAAGTAATAAAATAAATAAAACTGGCGCAGCCTAAAAAGCAGAAAAACCCGTCTTAAATTGTTTTGCACAAAGCCACACTGCAAGAACATTTTTTGTGGTTGTGGTTTGCATTCGATGTATCTTCATTCACAAAACGCAGTATTGGTATTTCGTGCACGGAGAACATCGCTTAAAGTGGGTCCTGACCTCTGCGCACACAGAGCAAAATAAACGCATACTTTTTGACGACTACATGAATATGTGTGTTGACGCCGAGTAATGCCAAGCTATAAATGTAAGAAACGGCGGAAGCGTCGTGCAACAAAACGTGCATACGAGCTTCCTCGTCGTGTCAGTTGTTCGCCTCCTTCAACGCACGAAAATCAGATCAGTTTATGCCGTAATCAGTGATGTCATGGACAGACTCTTGTCGGTCTTCGTCGACCTCCTTCTTGATCTCTTCCCAGGAGACCAGCGTGATAACGGAGGACGTCATCGTGTAGAAGAAAGCACCGCCGATGCCTCGCCACAGGCCCCGAAGTCCTTCCGTCTGCCTAATCTTGACGATGCAATCCCGCATACTGCTGTAGTATATGCCTTCGCCGCGCGGGTTCGAAGGCTGCGCGTACATACGCACCCGCAGTACGTCCAAGACCACGATGAAAGGCGCGGACGCGAGTCCCGACAAGACGGCCGCGATGAGCGTGTTGACGAAGAAGTAGCGCACGCCGCCTTCCACCGCAGTGTCCAGAACGCCCTTGAAGCCGCTGAAGGTGGACAACTGAAGCGCCGATCCCGTGGACAGCCGCAGCACGTTACAGGAAGTGGCGCGCCAGAGACCCCTCCAGACACCTTGCGTCCTGTAGATGTTCACCAGTTCCGCGTGCGCACTCCCGTACCCGCGCTGGTAGCCAACAGCGATGGCCGCTGTCGATGAGTGCAGCTGAAACGGAAGCGAGAAGTGCACTCGTTATAAAGCCGCAAGTGAATGTCGCGAGGTGTAGAATGGTTTTCGGCGTCCATGTATCTTCTTATCACTGCCCTCGCCTAACGCGTATAGTTTTCCAATGAAGTTGGTTCACATGATAACCATTGTATTCGTTCTTGCGGGGTCTCTGATCAGGTTTGGGAGTGGTAACAAAAAAAAAACGCGCGTGTAGTCACCGGTGGTGACAATGTGGACAATGCACGAAGCGGCTATACGTGGAACAAAAGCTTTTGAAATAACGGTGGAAATTTTCGATGCAAAGCCACGCGCCCTTGATCGTGAGAAAGCTGCGCCTCGAATGACCGGCATAAGTGACCAACGAACACCAGCTTTTAGTGTCGCTCATCGCTACCACGTAACTTCGGTTAACCATACAATGAACGACGTGCAATGCCGGCCCTGCAGATGAACCGTAAGTAAAATGGGAAGAGAAGCAAACAATGGGAGGACGCGTGTTCGTCACGATCCAGACAAGACAAACACGCACTAGTCTAAAGTCGAGGCAATGGGGAAACGTCCACAGTAAGTAACGTTCGCTTCTCAGCAGCGTGCTAAAAATACACTGAACACATTCAATAGAATGTGTCCTAAACTTCCAATGTGTAACCAAAACTCTACGCGAGACCAATTGAGGAGTCCCCTGAAGCGTTTCGAACGCTTGTGGTGTTTATGCACGTGGCTTGATGAATATGTGGGGTTTAACGCCCCAAAACCACCATATGATTATGAGAGACGCCGTAGTGGAGGACACCGGAAATTTCGACCACCTGGGTTTCTTTGACGTGCGCCCAAATCTGAGCACATGGGCCTACATCATTTCCGCCTCCATCGGAAATGCAGCCGCCGCCGCCGGGATTCGATCCCGCAACCTGCAGGTCAGCAGCCGAGTACCTTAGCCGCTAGACCACCAAGGCGGGGTACATGCACGTGGCTAGCATTAGATATATAATAGTAGATTGCAGGTGTGTATGTGTCGTTTACCACTTAAATCAAACAGGCATCCTGCCAAAATAAAAATAATTGTAGTAGACACGTTCTCCTCACGTCAACAATTTAATAGCGGTGGCAGATATAATATAAACATATACGTGACAATCATTCACACGCTAATTGGCTTAACAAAAATTCTAAGCTATTGTGCCTATACATTTCTGCGCACAGATATTTCAGGAGTGTAATAAAAGCCACTCAGTGCACATGACACACAGAAACGCTGCATGAGACCAAACCACAGCACCATCAAAAATGCGTCGCTTCTTTGACCAGAACACTAAGGTAGCAGGTGCACATAGACACTACTGAATTAAGCCAGGCCCTTGCACCCTCGTAGATAAGCAGTTATGGCGTTGACCTGAGCGTGCACAGAGGGACGGGTTCGACACCAGGCCAGCGGTTATATTTTCATGGAGCCAGAATAAAAAACACCCGTACACAAATTTTTAAGCGAACGTTAAAAAACAATTGTTGGTAAAAATTTAGCCGGTGTGCTTCATTATTATGTCGTGGTTTTGGCGTGTAAAAACCCACATTTTTATTCAAGGCAGTATGCGTGTACACATCGAAGAAAACACATCGAAGAAGTTTCATAAAAACAGAAAGTTTGTATTCATCAATATATATTTATATATGCACACAACAAGAATACGTGCCTATGAACGGAAATGCGGATTTCGCGGATTTACAATTTCATACCCGATACAAAAGTATATATAGACAGCTCTATATACGCACGTGTATACGCTCTTGGTACCACGTTCAACACAACTTTAACACGAGGGTAAGAAAAGAAAAAAAAAGCGAAAGAAATACATTATGCACAACGTTACTTATTTCTGTGCCACGTCTGACAAAATGTCTTATTTCTTTATTAGAGTTGAACAGAGGATCGAAATCGTCCTTTGTAAGTGTATTAAGTATAAGGGCAACTATTTTGAAAGTGGTTCTAGTCTCAAATGAATCACGGGGTTCTGCGTCCCAAAAGAACTAGAGGTTCTATTCACGTGACGCCAGCATGGCGGGCACGGCAGCGAAAAGTGCGCCAGCTGTGCTGGCAACCACGTGGCCACCATTTTGAAGGCCTCCATACCGGCGGCCGCCGGCCCGGCACTACCGGCACTACCGGCACTAAAGTCCAGCGGTTCCAACAGGTGCACACAAGTTACTGCGGGCACGTTTCTCTAATTTTAATTTTATTTGGCTTTAGAAGGTACGAGATTTGCCATTTGTGAAGCTGCTGCAGTCATGGGCGATGCACACTCGGCTCGCTTGAGCGTGTACGCCGAGAAATCGGATGCCGACGCTAAACATTGATACACGGACCAAATGGCCCTCTGCAGTGTAGGTTGACCCCTTCATTCTTACGAGTGAGGAGGCCGCATTTGACACCGGACTTGTTTCGAAGGCGGAACTCTGACACACAAAGGAGTGCTTGGTGCATTTACGACAAGTTTTGTGACGCACGAACGACTCAAAGTCAAGGAATTGTTGCAGGCTTGACTAGTGAATTCGTCCACGAACCCTCGCTGAAAAGTCACGGTGACTACGTCGCTGTCCGCGCAAAGGTAAGATAATCTGAAATTATATTCTATACGTAAGCGCCAAAGTCAAGTTTGCCCAATCATTTGATACTAACGCGTTGTTTTACAAATCTAGTTAAAACTGTCGACTTAACAGCGTTTACTAACTTGCATGTGAAAACACCATTGCGCGGGGTACATTCGATTGTGGTACAGTTCACGCGAGACTAAAATTTCGATGTGGTTGGTTCACCCACAGCTTTGATCAATCAAATGAAAAGTATCAGGAACATTAAATTATTCACTAGACCAAGCTTACAAGATACCTGTGTTGTGACGCAAGTGTGATGAGCTCGGTCACTTTAACGAGAAAAACAAGTGCATGCCTCTCATTCAAGCTCGCAGTGTACCGCGCGTGTAATAATATGAACAGTCCAACGTTGAGTACTTCGCTGTGTTCTGCCGTTCGCTGACGTCACTGGTACAGTATTGAAACTTACTGCATTTACTGTGCCATTGTAATTTTTTTCATTTTCGTGTTTCGTTCGTGTTTGAAATAATCAAAGCTGTCAGATATCCGAACTCAACTGAGTTTCCATTCGCAGCTGAACCACTCTCAAGCACTCACCCTACACCCATGTTAAAATCAGCCTGGGGAAGACGGCCGAATCACTCGCCACGACGCTGCGCCGCAACCTCAAGTGTACGGCCGCCCCGCCGTGGTGGTCTAGTGGCTAAGGTACTCAAGTGCAGACCCGAAGGTCACGGAATCGAATCCCGGCTGCGGCGGCTGCATTTCCAATGGAGGCGAAAATGCTGTAGGCTCGTGTGTTCAAATTCGGGCGCACGTGAAAGAGCACCAAGTGGTCGAAATTTCCGGAGCCCTCCTCTACGACATCTCTCATAATCATATAGTGGTTTTGGGACGTTAAACCCTACATATCAGTCGTCATCATCCAGTGTATATTGCTTTATTGGCCACTAATAACGTGTGGCAATGAATAAAATATAACCGGTTTTGCGTTTTCAGGCTCCTCACCCTTCCATTTTGTGCGATGGCTGAACACAAATACGGCGCAATGAAACGTTATAAAAGGATGGCGGGTGCAAAAAACAGCTGAACTTGAGTGTCACGCAGAGGCACACCCAGTGTACATGGCCCTAGTCCTGGCGGCTGAAGTAGTGCCTTCCCCGCATTACCTCTTGCTGTGCGGATATTGTGAGGCCAGGCTGTAGGAGCACAGGGTTGCTTGGAGGTGAATACCACCTATATTAGGGTGTCTCGATGCGCGCGCCCTCACTCGGTGTGCTGCCACCTTTTGTACTGCTACCTCTGCCATTGTGATGCCTGCAGTGTATTCGCCAAGCTGTAGAGCTCACGTGCCGGCTTTCTTCGGCATGTTTTGCCTGGACGTTGAATTACTCAGGCCCATAACCATTCTCGTTAATCTAATGTGCTATTACGTACGTGCCAGAGCGAAACCTTTATGCAGCGGGAGTTGTAATGGTGATAATGGCGGCCACCGCAGATGTCTTCACTCTGAGCGGGCATCAAGGCACTCTAACCTATATGATCACGAAGCACACCTAGTGGGGGTCTCAGAGTAACTTTCATTACGTGAGGTTCTCTGACGTGCCCCGAACTTTGGGTACACAGTTTCCTTTCTTTCGTTCCTTTCTATTCTCCCCATCGAAACGCAGCCGCCATGGATGGCAATAAAATCCGCATCCCATATATGTTAGCAGCGCAATATCTCAGCTGCTATAGTCTATAATGGCAATCAAGTACTCAAATTTTCATGGGTGTGTACGCACCTTGAGTACCAAGTCCCAATATTCACTCAATTATCTAATTGCGATTCAGTGGTGCAACGTCAATCGTCTAGTTGCAACAACAGCTACAAAATGTTCGCTGAATTTTTATTGCAACTCTTACTCGAGCCCTTGAGGCTCATGTGAGAGTCGTGGAAATATCCTCCTGGTCTTGGCGACCTACAGCTGAGGCTTCCAATGACACCTACGCTATACTTAGGCGGAAAAGCAAAATCGAAGTACATTATTACATTTTGGCGACTCCAGCTCCTACACCATCTCTACGAGATCCAATGCCAGATTTCGCTACTAACGTTAATACAAGTCCAGCGGTAACCGAGAGGTATAAGCGGGTAAAACACAAATACATAAAGATAATGAAAATACACTTAAAGTGATCTGCATTAGTTGCCTCTTGCGTATTGCCGGTAGAAGGCATATTGAGCTATTTTTCTGACGGTGTTTTGGCAATTGACTTTACATTGAAATATGAGTTATGGTACTTTTGCTGTTATACTAAGGTGAACTAAGCAAGGCAGACAATATGCAGGTATGCCTTTTAAATTCTGACGAACTATAGAGGCCTCCATATCTGAAAAAGAAACTGTTTAGCATCGTTGAGGAGAGGGAAGTCCAGCCTGTCCTGATAATCGGCATAATAGCGGAGGTGAACAGCCTGAGCAAAAAAATAGCCCCGCCGCGGTGGTGTAGTGGCTAAGGTACTCGTCTGCTGACCCGCAGGTTGCGGGTTCGTACCCCAGCTGCGGCGGCTGCATTTCCGATGGAGGCGGAAATGTTGTGGCCCAGTGTGCTCAGATTTGGGTGCACGTTAAAGAATCTCAGGTGGTCGAAATTTCCCCAGCCCTCCACTGCGGCATCTCTCATAATCATATGGTGGTTTTGGGACGTTAAACCCCACATATCAAACAATCATCAACTTCAAACTTCCCCTTCCCTTTTGGCTAATTTCGCTGCATTGAACCGGTAGCTCGTATGACGTTACCTAAACAGGAAAGTTGAGACTTGTTTTGCTTCGTGCTTGACTGTACCTGTTGATGAGTCTTGAGCAAAAAGAGGGGAGAGCTCACGAAAGCCCCAATGGCACCAGACACGCCGCCGAAGAGGGCACTAAGTAGAATGCTGGGCTCCAGGTTTCTGTCCTGCGTCAAGCCGAGGTCCTCGCTGATCTGGTAGATGCCCAGGCGCAAACCATTGGCCAGCAGCTGGTAGCCGAGGTTTGTGAGAAGCCCCCGGTAAATGGCGAGGACGCCATCATATCGGTATATCGTGTAAATAGACTGCAGGGTGTTTCGGTACACGGGACGTGCCCGCGCCGACCTGTCTGCACATTTCGGGAGGCAACAACAGTGCTGTGTTAGGGTGGAACAGCTGAGAAGACACGTTGTTTTAGCTTGCGCGAAAAACACCTCCTGAGACCCCTCACTTGTGGTTTATTTCACTCTTCTTTCATAAACCATACAGTGCACCCAATATTAATGTTCCAGCAATATAACAGCGGATAAGTGTGCGTACACAATAATGACATCTGGATTAAGAATCTACATTTGCACAAACATTGCGACATGACTGTTGTCGCGGTATTCGCAATGGCAAAACTAGATTTGTTGATATGACATGCTCCCACTTCATACATTTAATATATAGTGTTTATAACAAACCGCGAAACAGTGCATCACAGTTTTAACGTTGGCACACTGCACGCGATACAATACTACTGACCCTAATATGCAGAGGTGTGTGTGTGTGTGTGTGTGTGTGTGTGTGTGTGTGTGTGTGTGTGTGCGTGTGCGTGTGTGTGTGTGTGTGTGTGTGTGCGTGTGCGTGTGCGTGTGTGCGTGTGTGTGTGCGTGTGCGTTCGTGTGTGCATGCGTGCGTGCGTGTGTGTGTGTGTGGTGTGTGTGTGTGTGTGTGTGTGTGTGTGTGTGTGTGTGTGTGTGTGTATAGCGAAGCGTTTTTCTCGTAGTCTAGTCAGTTTCTGCACCTTGTCACATAGTTCTGTAAATCATGCGCTATCACTATCATTCTGTTTATACAGCACATATATATTTGCATTTGTAATGTAAAGCTGGTGTTGGCAATAAACCTCTGTATACAGGCTCAGGTTTTGGGCCCATGGAACTAGGAATTGAGGTATGGCGGTTATGTATATGACGAACGCCTACTCTTGACTCGTAGACAGTTCAAATGTACTGTATTGGGTAGATGTTGACTACAGATGAGAATGCCAACTTTTAATATTTTTTCTGTCTCTCCCTCGAAGAACAAGACCCTATTGATGCCATAAGAGTGTGCCAGTTTTCGCTAACCAGGCCGCTTGTACTTCTTTACAGCTTGTTGTGATTAACCGGAATTGTAGAAGCGTCCCTGTCAACAACGTGTCATGTATATCTTTGTCAATGTTGTATCCACATACCCGCCATGGTGGTCTACTGGTTACAACGTTCGACTGCTGACGCGCAGGTCGCGGGATCGTATCGCTGCCACGGCGGCCATATTTTCGATGGAGCCGAAAACGCTCGATACCCGTGTACTTCAAGTTAAGTGCCCGTTAAGCAACCCCAGGGGGCAGAAATTTCCAGAGCCTTTCCCTGCGGCTTCTCTCGTAATCACGTCGTAGTTGTGGGGCGTTCAACCATCAAAATTAATTTGGCATCCACGTCAGCAACCTTTTTATATGATATGACTGTTAGCGTCAAAACTGCAAAGTATATATAAGTAACATCACAAAACGACGACCAGCTCATCTGCATTGTTTGTTTTCAGTATATTCCGCGTTTAACGTACTGTTGCCATGGCGATTACCTTTCTAGCCCTTGTTTTTCAGCGTATGAAACATGCGTTCGTGGCGTGCAAAATTACTTTCCATGCCCCTGCCAACGTGTTTCAACTCGGACTTCAGAAATAAGAGCTATTATTGTGTTCTTGAAGTTTAGCTTCGTTGAAAAGTGCAAGACATTTTTAGGACGCCTTCGTATAAGATATGCGCTTGTCTTGTCACGAGGCGTACGTACTGCATGCTTGAGACACGCGCGCTCAGAGTTGACTGTCTTCGCTGGGGCGTATACCTGCAATGACCGGCAGGAGCTCGCCTTGCAGCTGTATGCGCAGCTTGGCCACTTCAATCGGGTGCGTAACGAAGGAGGCCGAACAGGCAGCCATGGCACCCACCGCGATGTTCGTCAACGGCTCGTTGGTGCGCAGCTCCATGTAGCCGCTCACCGGAGCCAGTAGCCACCATGACCAGACATCGTCGTTAGGCCAGCGCCATGGTGTGTAGCCAATGTTCCAGTTTGGTGGCGCTGACTGACGCATATCTTTGCTTTGATCGCCAGCTGCCGATGGCTGATGCCCACTGTGGGGGACTGGCCAATCGCACTAGTGTTGGCAGAATGCGCTTAGTATTGAAAAACAGGAAGGTTAGAAGAAAAATCCAATAAATCAAAAAGAATACCAAGTATCTGGTGCCTATAAAAATCCTGGAAAGATTACCTGCCATGTGTCTTCGCGGTCTTCGTCTTTTGAAACAGCGAGTTGCTAAGCAAAGATGTACAGCGCTATGGGGTGCTTCTCATATTGATTCGTTCAAACACGTGAATAATAATGAGCCGGATTGTGAGGTCTACACGCATGTTGTCATTACAAGATATTTTCAGATGGCTGTTTGGTTTTATCGTCATTGTGGCTATATTTCCTTTGAAATTTGAGTAAGAAATTTTCACTGGCTTAGCCATAATACATGTCCATTAACCAAGTGACGACCTGTTCCTATATTCATTTGAGGCTGAAATTCATTGCGTTCGCATGTAGAAGCACCTTTATACATCAGTATAATAGCAAAAAAAAAATTCGACAACGTGTTTGAATCATACAAGCAAACACTGTCGCAAGCAACACGGGCGCAGCCTCGTCGCATGTATATACAGCATTCGTTGAACCAAGCATGAAAATGAAACGTACGAGACTTGGTAGTGAAGAGTGCAGATGAGAGGTGAATGCACAGAGAATTCCAACAGGCGCATTTCAGGCTTTGTTTTACAACAAGTGTAGGCGCATACCCCTTCAAGGAGGCTGGCCAATCATCGACCCATAACGTGTTGCACGTACAGTGCTCCACTCACATGCCTACATATAACGACGAAGCGTCGTGCGCGGAACCGCACGGGCGACATCTGCTGTCGCAAATACGCCACATCTGAGCATGCGCGGCCCTAGTGATACATGTGACTGCTTTGCAATACTGATCCTTGTTTATCACCACGCGCGCAACAACCGCTTTCGCCGTCGGAAGCGCTCTGAAAGATTTAGCGAAAAAAACAAAAAGCAAGCAAAAAAAGATTGATTGATATGTGGGGTTTAACGTCCTAAAACCACCATATGATTATGAGAGACGCCGTAGTGGAGGGCTCCGGAAATTTCAACCACCTGCAGGGTTTTTTAACGTGCACCCAAATCTGAGCACCCGGGCATACAACATTTCCGCCTCCATCGGAAATGCAGCCGCCGCAGCCGGGGGCAGCCGAGTAATTTAGCCACTAGACCACCGCGGCACGGCACAAAAAAAAAACGAAGTGAACCATTCTCGCTGTGATATGATAGGCGTGCGCGATGCCCCGTCATTATAGACATGCGAGTTGAGCAATGTACTCTGCAGCGCAACATGCCTATTCATCGAGAAACTCCACTGATACGCGCATTTTAACCCGCTGGCAAATATTCACCGAGTAGCGTACGCCTCGATAGTTGCCTTTGAATATACAAATCGCATGCACGACGGCTAACGAATCACCATGACGGAATGACTACGGCCCTGTGGCGAAATGGAACCACGAGATTTCACGAACTACGACAGAATAAAACATGGGCCCCACCAGAGTGGTCTAGTGGCTAAGGCAGTGGTCTAGTGGCTGCTGACCTGCAGGTGGCGGGATCTAATGCCTGCTGTGGCAGCTGCATTTTCTATGGAGGCGAAAATGGTGTAGGTCCGTGTGCTCAGATTCAAATACAGAATAAACAGCCCCAGGTGGTCAAAATTACCAGAGCCTCCACTACGGCGTCTCTCATATTCACATTTGGTGGTTTGGGGATGTTAAACCTCACATATCAATCAATCAATTAAATCGCAGAATAAAAAATGAGCACACTTGTTTCATCGAAATATGCAGGCGATGGCGTGTTTGTGTTGGAATTCATGTCCGCGCCTCCACGCGTCACCTGCCACCCTGGACCACTTGGCGAGTGCCGTATCCATTCTCGTTTTGCATCGTGTTCGATACCGGGGAATCGTGCAAGAGGTCAGGCAGCAGAAGGCGCCCCAAAGGTGGGATAAGGGCCACGAAGGGTATAAGCCTAAAGCATTGCGGGTTCCAAATAAGATAATTTTCGCTCACCAAACCTCACAGCAGTGCGGCCATAAAAATGTGTGCGATAATTACAATCCCGGTCAGCCAACTGAATTCACTGACTATAGCTGTTAGTAAGGGGTACGTTATAAGCATGCACACAATAAATGAGAGCCACTATTTAAGGGATCCCTTCTTGCTATATGCGTTTTCAATGCGTTAGAGAAATTACTATATAGTGAAACCTCATTGTAACGAACGTTTATATAACGAATCACTGGTTATAGCCAACTGAATACGAACTGCCGTTTCATTTCAGTTATATACAGGGTGTCCCAGTTAACTCTCAACACGATTTGAAGAAAAGCCGCCAGCGTTACTCGAAAAAAAAAACTACTTCATACTGTTCCTAGTACAGTGGACTAGCCAATAGTCCATTTTGGTAGTTACATTTAGTTACATGAAATAATAAAACATCCAATTCTAGAACTACTGTTTTAATCGTTAAAGCGTCAATGAGGCAGTTGTAGTCAACTGCGTGTGGCATCAAACTGTGTTATTTTCAACGAAGTATGAATGCCTACTCAGTTTGTATTGCGATGGCAATTATATGGACACTCTCGGCAAGTTTCTACGTTGACAAAGCTGCCTTCATGCGCCGTATATGTATACGTATCTATATATAGGAAAACTCAAGAAAGAAAGAAAAAACCGCCCGCGCTCGGCACCCAGCTCGTCGCAATGCGCCCACGCTTATCTCCTACGCGTACTGCCAACTGGCTGTGCCCCCGCGATCTCCGACGACAGTTCAGCTCTGGCCGACTGGCTCGCCCTACGCCATCTCCTGACGCTGACAAGAGCTCTCGCCGAGTGGTGCCCCGTCCTCGGACTCCAGCGACCGTGTTCATCCTTCCTATCTTCTCCTTACTTCTGTATGTGGCTGTCCCTGCGCCTCACTCTCTCCTTCCTCTCCCTCTATCTGTATACCTTTTAAACATATACTTTTAATTCCTTCTCTACCCCAACCCCTCGTGAGCTACGGTTGAGGAGCCCTCCCCCTGAGAGACAATTACGGGGATCACTTTTCTCTTCTTTTCATTTAAAATCACCCCCCCCCCCAAGCATGGGGGCGGAATGGTCAAGTGCTTGTGCGCTCGCGCTTATCCTTCGGTGTGGAGAATCGTGTGCCTTGGCCTTTCACCGGAATGATTGAGGTAGTTGCCTGGGCCACAAAGTTCAACTTCGCTCACTGGGCAGGCCCGTTTGCGAAAAGAGCGCGCTTTTCAAACACGGCAAAGTAACAACTGGGAATCTCGTTAGTTTCCACTCAGATCGGTACATATTTGTGATTACGTTTTGTGCGTCGTTTTTTTTTTTTGTTTGTTTAAACAGTGCATTAGGCGTCGAGTCGTAAACGTTGGAATTAGTTGTCATCCTGTGTGTGTTGCTTTCGTGCATCATTTGTGCGTGAGCGGCGCGCTGCACGTTTCAATTTGCTAGCCAATCTCAGCGTTACATTGCAAGCTATTGCTATCGCATGCATTGCTTCGCCCTTAAGGGAAGCTGTGACTTTTCATAATGATGAACGGTCCCCGCGAAATATGAAGAGTACCACGTGACAGCGCTTCTAGCGCATCGCAAAGCAACGCCCCCGAAGAAGCTGATTGAAAGTTATTCATTTGCCTATCGCACATTCGAAAAGAGTGCATTCAATTGATTGTTATATGGACGCAGGAGCAAGCTACGCAACATCAGCGATTGAATCCTGTCAGTTATACATCGCTACCCCACCACAATGGTCTAGTGGCTAAGGTACTCGGCTGCTGACCCGCAAGTCACGAGACCGAATCCCGGCGGCGGCGGCTGCATTTCCAATGGAGGCGGAAATGTTGTACGCCCGTGTGTTCCGATTTGGGTGCATGTTAAAGAACCCCAGGTAGTCGAAATTTCTGGAGGCTTCCACTACGACGTGTCTCGTAATCATACGGTGGTTTTGAGACGTTAAACTCTACAAATCTATCTAGTTATACGTCGCTTTTCTTACCCGCCTCTTACGGATTGCTCATTCATTGGATGAGAATGGCTTTTGACAGCGTGGTCGAAGCGCTGCTTTTACCACGGACGAAACCTGAAAGGCAACAAAACGTACGTACAATATTTCAAAATATCATTTCTACTCCCACCGCAATGGAAGTGTGCACGTGCAGCCATATCTTGCGTCAGAAACTCGCTTTAGAGCAAGGCCAAATCAAATTTGTGGCTTGATTTCGTACAGCAAAAAAAAAAACAGCATTTGGCAACAAATAAATAAAGCTGAAACAAGCACGCCGGAAGCTTCCGACGTGTAGAAAGCAAGCAAAACCGATGCGTTGAAGAATCTGAGTGTGTCACTGCCAAATGTGCCGATTTGGCAAAACGAGACGCTTGCGCAAAAGAAAGGAAGAAGTCAAAGTCGATTGCTGCTTTATTACTGGTGCATTCTCAAGCACCATTAACACTCGATACCGCTTTCAGAACGTGTTAAAATAGGTCTCTTCTTGCAGCTACGCAATACTGAGCCCGCTTTACAACGTGCTCAGTTGTTTTTTCGATGACCAACGGAGGAATTCTGCTACACGCACACATCCGTTATTCTGGCCTTCAGGTCATCTGTCGTCTATGTCTCGGTCATGTACACACGATATTTCCCGTATCCGCACAGAAAGAAATCCAGTGGAGTAAGATAAGGTAACCAAGCCGGCCAGTCAACAGGCCCGTGCCTTCTAAGTCATTGTTTATAAAAAGTCGCATCCAACCAGTTTCGTGCGTGGCGGCTGTAATGTGCTGACGCCCCATTTTGCTGGTACTACAAAATTGGAAGACGTGACAGAGCAGTTTCACTGCAAAATCGATTCACCATGCTTTTAAGGATGTCATCCATGTAACGCTGACCAATCAGGGTGCCATCGAAGAAGATGGAGCCGATTATACCTC